CACCCCCGGCCTCCGTCTCACGGCTCGCCACCAAGACAGAATGGTCGATGTCGGCCAGCGAGAGGCGCGACGTGCGCACCTGCGGCAGCGCTGCGAAAGCGGCCGAGCTCTCGTCGGCACGTGAGGGGCGCGACAAATCTGACTTGCCCGTTTCGCGCGGTGGGGGCCAGACGGACACCCTTGCTATCGACTCCTTCACCCCCGATCGATCCTTGACCGACATCGACACCGATGGCTCCAGTTCGTCCGCCTTCTCCTCCTCTGGCGCCGCCCTCTCGCCGAGCGAGATCGACATCGTCGCGTCGACCGAGCTTGGCGCCGGTGCAGTTTGACGCGGCGGCCTGCGCGAGCGCCAGAGCGAGGCGCCCAGGAGGGTGATGTTTAGTATCGACCCGCACTGCCCGAGAGAGGTCCATGCGTCGCCAAGCCAGTCGAGCGCACCGCCCTCGAGCAGGGCCCGCTTGACTGGCGCGACGCAGCCGATACCCATCGCTATCAAGACGCAAATGATGACCGGATCTGCAGTGCTGGCCGCCAGGCTTGTGCAGCATGCCAGCCAGCCGTCTTTGCTCTGCGTTGTTGGCATTCCCCTGCGCCTCTCGGCGGAGGTGACGAGGGCGCGGCCGGTTGCGTCGAGCGCTGTCGGAGGCCACACGACACCTTTGGCGGGCGTCGGCGGCGGCGGCGGCGCGAGGCAGGCCCGCGCGTACGGCCGCCCAAAGGCGAAGGCAAATACAAACCAGATTACAGAATACATTGCCACCACCCCCCTGCCAACGTCGATGGACTCCTCGTCCGGGTGCTCCTCGTCCCAGGTCGCGGCCAGGCTCCAGGTCGCGGCCATGGGCTTGAGCATGACGAGAGGCATAATGAAGGCGTTGCCCAGGGCGGTGACCAACGCCATCAACTGGGAGTAAGGGCGCGGGATGCACAGGGCGCTCCCAGCGAGGCGGCCTAGGAGGAACCCGAGGCCGAGCTGCGTCATCGCAATCAATGCGACTCCGCACCACGCGACAATGCGCTGCGGCGAGAAGGAGGAGAAGAAGGAGAGGGCGAGGCCGGGGAAGAGGACCGCTAGCATGAGCTGCGACATCCTCTGCATGGAGCTGACGTCCATGATGCCATGGTGTGCAGCGTAGGCGCCGGCGACGCAGACGGCAAAGACGTTGGCGATTGCCTTGCCGGCCACCGCAAGGCTTTGCGCCAGGATTGTCAGCATATGCTCCGGGCGGCTGAAACCCGCCGAGGAGGGCTGTTGGAACCCACTGAGGAGGCGGTAACTTCTGTTCAAGAATTTTACAACAAAGCTCCCCTGTGGAGGAGAGCCGGAGGGCTGGAAGAAGACGGGCAATCGCACGAACCGTAGCTCCGGGTCGGCCGTCCGTGCGCCTGGTCACGCCTTTCTTTTTTCGTGCACCTGTGTGGCCGCGCGCACCCTTCCACACGCCTCGACTCGGACACACTGCTCCGAGGGCAAGGGAGAGGGGCTGGCTCCTAGCCCGAGAGGGGAGCTTCCGAGACCCACTACAAGACCACGCACGCATCATCCCGCGGCCTGGCGGTCGGCGGGATTGCAACCAGTCTTCGCGTGCCGCCTGTCGTTCGGCTCGGGCGCCTTGGGCGTCGGGGTGGCGAGCAGGGGACGCGGCTCTGAGCGCCCAGCGACGCGTGCCGGATGGAGTCCGGCCGCGGGTGACTAGGGAAGTACGCTCAGGATGTGTGGCAGTCAGTTTGGCTGAGTGTCTTGTCTTGTGGTTCTGTGTATCGCTCCTGTGTGACCGTCATCGCCCGTCCTCGTGCGTCCACCCATACCGCGTTGGTGTCCCAGTCGTTGGTCGGACTGTGTTTCGCCTTCCCAGCAATCAATCAATGTGTTAGCCTCAGTCCCGTGTGCCCAGTGTCGTGCGAGAGAGTTTCGCTGTAAAATTCTTTCAAAAAACCTCCCGAGCAACGTGCGGTGCAGCCGGCAAGCAGTCGCTGCCGCCTCCAGCGCGAGGGTCGACAGCTATGCGTCCCCCTACCTAGGGCGCTCGCGCTAACTAGAGCGGCTCGGCACGTCGCCCGCCTGCTCACAGCTAGAGACGGGGGGTCCGCACCAAAGTTCGAATAAACTAGAGCCCGGCGCTGAACTCGAGCGAGAGCGAGCGCACGCGCAAGTCCAGGGCGCCCGTCTTCACCGCGCCGTACGCCTCCACCTCCATCCGCTCGAGGGCGGGCTTGAAGCCGGCGATCGACTGCACGTCGTTGGAGAAGAAACGCTTGAGCTTGTGCACGGTGCGGGGCAGGTTGAACGGCTCCTCCTCCTGCGTCTCCAGCTCCACCTCGATCTCTTGCTCCTCCTGCTGCTGCTGCTGCTGCTGCTGCTGCTGCTGCTGCTGTTTCTCCTCCTCCTCGCGCGGCCTAAAGCAGAACAAGCAGATGTGGCAGATCTTGCTTACCCGCAGCGTCCCACGGGCAGTGGCGATGCCGTTTGCGGCCGACTGCTCGCGTGTACGCCGCGGACGGCCCTGCCTCTCCTGTCGCGGGCGCCGCGATCGCCTTCGCATACGCTACCGCCGCCTCCATCGCCGTGTCAAAGATGCCAAGGAAGACATTTTTTCCGTCCACCATGTGCTGCGCTACAAAGCGGCCAGAAGAGGCCTGCTTGAACACGTTCTTGTAACCGGTGCCGTTGCTGCTCGAGAGGTGCAAGCGCAAGCCCTCCGCCTCCGCAGCCACCGCCGGAGGCTGGTACTCGCCGACCGCCCGCGCATAGGCCACCGCCGCCTCCACCGCCGTGCCGAAGTTGCCGATGTAGACCTGCCTTCCGTCCACCCGGTGCTTCGCCTCGAAGCGGCCAGAGCGCTCGCACACGCCCTTGTAGCCGGTGCTGTTGGTGCTGGAGAGGTGCAGCTGAAAGCCTTCCGCCTCTGTCACCACCGTCGGGGGAGGTTGAGCCGGAGGCTGGTACTCGCCGACCGACCGCGCGTACGCCACCGCCGCCTCCACCGCCGTGTCGAAGAGGCCGAGGTAGACAGCCCTTACGCCCACCTTGTACTGCGCCACGAAGCGGCCAGAGTTCTTAAACACGTTTTTGTAGCCGGTGCTGCTGCTGCTCGAGAGGTGCAAGCGCAAGCCCTCCGCCTCGCATATGCTCTGAGGTCACAGTATGGGTTCGGCACCTGTTCACAGCAGTGTGAAGGTAGGGGATGAGAAAAAGAAACCGCGGAGTACCAGTATGGATTTCTTTTCCGGCGGCCAACCCAGGCTGGATTTCTTCTTCGCGGCGAGGTAGGGGATGGGAAAAGAAAAGCCCGGGGCGACATGCAATTGAGAGAGAGTGGGCGCGCGAGGAATCCCACTGAGATTCACTTGATTGCGTGGGATTGCGATGATTGCAGGACCCCAACTCGGGAGCATGGATTGCATGCAGTCAAATTGCAGGCGTCCCCATACTCCGAACTAATTTTCTTTTTCCCGGCACTCTGCAGTTCATGGCCAAGCTCAATGGGAAGGCCACGCTGTGGGAGAGCAAGATCTGCCCCGAGGACCCGGAGCTCGACTTCATGATGCGCCTGCTCAGGGCCGAGGCGCTCGCCGTGCAGCAAGAGAAGGCGTTCCAGGCGCTGACAATGGCCGTGCTCGGCGCCACCGTCACCGTGAGCGGCGACGAGGTGAGCTTCTGGACGGCCGACGGCCAGCCGCTCCGCGCGCCGGTCCTCGAGAAGCTGCTCGTCACGCCGTCCGTTGAGCGCGCAGTGGTGGGCATCACGAAAGGCTGGCGGGACGGCATCGCCGACGAGCTGCGGCAGATGACGGTATATGCACAAAAGCGTCGAAAATGCCCGAAAAAGCGTGTCGAGTTTGTGGCAGCCCCACAGCCGGCGCGCGCTGCCAGGAAGCACCGCTCGCGTGTCGGCGGCACTCCCTGGCACCCAGTGAGTGCCGCGAACCGACCAGACCGAATAGGCTCGACGCCGCGCTTGCTGTGGGGCTGCCACAAACTCGCCGCCGAGCGTGCCACCGAAGGCGTCCCGTCGGCGTCTCGGGCGGGGTAATGCCGGCGGGCCCCCAATATGGGGCGCGTCCAGGTCCATTCGACGAGCGAGAGCGGCCGCCCTCCTCCCCCTCCGCCGGCGCCGCGCCGCCGGGGATAACTTCCTCCTCCAGTGGGTCGGACCCAGTGGTCTAACCCGCCTCTGCGGCCTGCGCCACCGCAGGCGCCGCGCTCCGCGCGCAGGGTGCGGTCGCCGCTGCGGCCTCTGCCGCCAGCCGCCGCCCCTCCTCGCCGTCCACCACCGCCGCGCTCGTACCAGCGCTGGCGGTGGGGAGGCGGGGTCCAAACTGCTCCTCAGAGAGGGAAGCAGCAGCAGCTGCTGCCTCCTCCTCGTCGGAGGTGTAAGCCTCGCCGCCGCGCGTGGCGCCGAGGCCGCGCCCGCCAGCGGCTGCGGCCGCGCCGCCCGCCTGCGCGCCAGCCGCAGGCCCAGGCGGGCCGGCGACGGAGAGCGCGGCAAAGGCAGCTGCGAGAGCTGCTGCTGCGGCCTCTGCGCTGCGCAGCGTCTCGTCGGGCAGCACGCGCTCGCACAGCGCGAGCGCGGCGGGCGAGAGACCGAGGGCCGTCGCGCTCGTGCCGCCCTGGATCACAACGAGCAGCTCCGCCACATTGCCCACGCCCTGCTGGAGCAGCTTCTTCTGCAGCAGCTTCTTGTTTGGCGCAGAGACGTGGGCGCGCGCCGCGAGAGCCGCGATGCTCTCGTCGAGGTCGATGGTCGGCTGCGAGGCCGCCATCGGAAGCGAGGCCGCGGGCACGACCCGGGCCTCGCTGAGCTTCGCCGCCACGAGCGCCGAGGGAGAGAGGAGCGCGACCGACGCCACCGCCGTGCAAAAAAGAAACAAGGTTGTAGGCGGGGAGTGGGGCCGTCTCATAACTAAACGGCGCAGCCTGCGCGCGTGTGTGTGTGTGTGCTCAACGGCCGCAAGAGCAGCCCTCAGAGCCGCTCGAGTGCTACACTACTAGACGCATGCCCACCCGGCTGCAGAAGCTCGTCGCCCTCCTGGCCAACGGGCCGTCCGAGGCGGCAAGGCTCGCCGCCGCCCGCCAGCTCGGCGAGCTGCAGCGCGCCCACCCGGCGCAGCTGCACGTGCTGCTCCAGCACATCCTGCGGCACCTCTTCGCGTCCGAGTGGCCGACGCGACGTGCAGCGGCGGCGGCGCTGCAGGCCGTGGCCGAGGCGGCCGACGCGTGGTCTCCGGAGCAGCCGGAGGAGCCCGACGAGGCGGCCGAGGCGGCCGCCCGTGCCGAGGCGGAGGGTGCGTGGCTCTCGTTCCGCTCGTTTGAGATGGCGTCGGTGCTGGCGCACGGGCGGCCGCTCCTCGCGTCGGGCGAAGTTGTCTAGGAAGTGTCTCGGAAGCGTCTCGGAAGTGTCTAGGCGGCCGCTCCTCGCGTCGGGCGGGTCGGAGTTCGACGAGGAGGACGCGGGCAGCGCGGGCGGCCTCTCTGGCCGCGAGCGTCTGCTGCGGCAGAGGCGGCTGCTGCAGCAGCAGCTAGGGATGGAGTCGGTTCGGCAGGCGCTCACACCTCGGCTGTCTCTCGGCTGTGCCTCGGCTGTCTCTCGGCTGTGTTTCGGCTGTGTCTCGGCTGTGCCTCGGAAAACCTCGGCTGTGTTTCGGCTGTGTTTCGGCTGTACCTCGGCTGTGCCTCGGCTGTGCCTCGGCTGTGCCTCGGCTGTGCCTCGGCTGTGCCTCGGCTGTGCCTCGGCTGTACCTCGGCTGTGCCTCGGCTGTGCCTCGGCTGTACCTCGGCTGTGCCTCGGTGGACAAGAAATGCCGACATGTCGCCAGCAAGACCGGACGTGTCCGGGAAGTGTCTCCAGGCGCTGGGCGGGCAGAGCGACGAGCTGCTCCAAGAAGCGGATCTGACTGCCGTCGGCGCCGCGCCGTCAGCTCGCCGGGCGGCGTGGGCGCCCGCAGGCGCAGACGCTGCCGCCGTGGCGCGCGTGCTCGCGGCGTCGTGAGGCTGCGGGTGTGGACGGCGTCTCTTCACAGCAGCAGCTGTGAACCAAGGCGCGCGTGATCGAGGCGTCGGGCGACGCGCTCTCTGCACGCGCGCGCAACCAGGCGCGCCACCAGGGCAAAAGAAGACTTCCCAGACCCTCCCCAGGCCCCTCCCCAAACCCCCTCCCAGGCCCCTCCCCAGACCCTCCCCGGTCCCTTCCCGGACCTTTCCCCTTCCTGCAGGCGCGCCGCCAGGCTAAGAGGGCAGCAAGCGGCATCGCCGCACCGCGTATCACCTCAGCGCCGCCTCTGCCGGCAGCGGCGGCGGCGGCGGCGGCGGCGGGGGCGGCGGGGGCGGCGGCGGAGGCAGGGGCGGGAGGCGTGTGAAGCGCTGGGTCGCCCGACAGAGCCTCTGGTTCCGAGTCAAAGGCCCTCCTCCTCCTCCCGGAAGGCGTGAAGAAGCGCGGGGCGCCCGACAGCAGCTCGCCGGTTTGCACCGCCGCGAAGAGAGCACATGCCGAGCCAGCAGCGGAGGAGGGCGGAGGAGGCGGCGGCAGTGCCGGCGGCGGCGGCAGCGGAGGCGGCGGCGGCGGTAGCGGAGGCTGCGGCGAGGGCGGAGGAGGCGAGGGCGGCGGCGGCGGCGAGGGCGGCGGCGGCGAGGGCGGCGGCAGCGAGGGCGGCGGCGGCGAGGGTGTGGATTGGAGGGAGAGTGTGTCTTGGCCCTTCGAGCCCTTGTGCGCTGAGCTGCGCTGCTCGCTCTTCCACTCGAGGTGGGGGGCTGGATCTCGGCGAGATCTCGGCCAGATCTCGGCCAGATCTCGGCCAGATCTCGGCTGGATCTCGGCTGGATCTCGGCTGGATCTCAGCTGGATCTCCGCTAGATCTCGGCCAGATCTCGGCCAACCAGATCTCGGCCAGATCTCGGCCAGATCTCGGCCAGATCTCGGCCAGATCTCGTCTAAAGGTCGGCTCTTCCGCGAGGTGGGAGCGGCGGCATGGCGCGGGCGCAGGGCTGCGAGCGGTGCTGCGAACGCACGGCTGCTCCGCCGGGTCGGCCGGCGGGGGTAGAAGCGGAAGCCGTGCTCCTGTCTCCCTTACTAGCGGGCGAGAGGGCAGCGTGTTGCACTGCACTCGGCCGTAGTCGGCCGTACTCACTGTCCTCCTACCCCCTCGTACTCACACTGTCCTCCTACCCCCTCGTACTCACACTGTCCTCCTACCCCCTCGTACTCACGCGGTGCTCTGAAGGCGGAGCACAGTACCGCACTCCCCGCCCCCGAGGCTGGCGTACTCAGCGCTATATGTGTGTATATATTACGCAGGTTGGCGGGGTGCGTGCTTGCGTGAGGGACGAGTTGCGGGGTCAGTGGCTCGAGGATTGCGCCTTGCGCCTCCTGGCTGTGCTGGCGCCGAGATGTCGCCGAGATGTCGCCGAGATGTCGCCGAGATGTCGCCGAGATGGCGCCGAGATGGCGCCGAGATGGCGCCGAGATGGCGCCGAGATGGCGCCGAGAGACCGCCCCTCCCCTCGGCCAGACTGCTGCGAGATCGTAGGCGACCGTGCTGCGAGATCGCGCGAGATCGCACACCGGAGATTGCTGCGAGATCGTAGGCGACCGTGCTGCGAGATCGCGCGAGATCGCACACCGGAGATTGCTGCGAGATCGTAGGCGCTAGACCGGTTCGGGGACTGGTCCGCTGGAGACCGAGTGACAGCGCCGGTGCGCGAGACGGCGGCGCAGGCGGTGGCGGTGGCGGTGTGGCTCCTGCTGCCGGCGGTGTGGAGCCGGAGCCGAGATGAGCCGAGAGTAGGCGCTGGCGGTGGCGCTGCGCTCGATGGAGGCTGGTTGCGCGGCGCAGGTGGAGCACGCGCCGCTGGCCATGTCCACGACACGCCCACGACACGCCCACGACACGTCCACGACACGTCCACGACACGTCCACGACACGTCCACGACACGTCCCCACGACACGACACGTCCACGACACGTCCACGACACGTCCACGACACGTCCACGACACGCCCACGACACGTCCACGACACGTCCACGACACGTCCACGACACGTCCACGACACGTCCACGACACGTCCACGACACGTCCACGACACGTCCACGACACGTCCACGACACGTCCACGACACGCCCACGACACGTCCACGACACGACACGTCCACGACACGTCCACGACACGCCCACGACACGTCCGCGACACGCCCACGACACGTCCACGACACGTCCGCGACATGTCCACGACATGTCCACGACACGTCCGCGACACGCGCACGACACGTCCACGACACGTCCACGACACGTCCCCGACACGTCCACGACACGCCCACGACACGTCCACGACACTTCCGCGACATGTCCACGACACGTCCACGACACGCCCACGACACGCGCACGACACGTCCAGGACACGCCCACGACATGTCCACGACACGCCCACGACACGTCCACGACACGTCCACGACATGTCCACGACACGCCCACGACACGTCCGCGACACGCCCACGACACGCCCACGACACGCCCACGACACGTCCACGACACGCCCACGACACGTCCACGACACGTCCACGACATGTCCACGACACGTCCGCGACACGCGCACGACACGTCCACGACACGTCCCGCAGGTGGTGCGCGCGCTGCTGACCATGTCGCGGGAGGAGGCGTGGGAGGTGCGGCACGGGGCTCTGCTCGGGCTCAAGTGTGCCTGCCTTCCTAGACACGTCCTAGACACGCCCTAGACACGCCCTAGACACCTCCTAGACACCTCCTAGACACGTCCTAGACACGTCCTAGACACGTCCTAGACACGTCCTAGACACCTCCTAGACACGTCCTAGACACGTCCTAGACACGTCCTAGACACTTCCAGGCTCTGCTCTCAAGTGTGCTGCCTTCTCTCTCTCTCTCTCTCTCTCTCTCTCTCTCTCTCTCTCTCTACCTCTCTCTCTCTCCCTCTCTCTCTCTACCTCTCTCTCTCTACCTCTCTCTCTCTACCTCTCTCTCTCTACCTCTCTCTCTCTCTCTCTACCTCTCTCTCTCTACCTCTCTCTCTCTACCTCTC